GCTCCTGACTCTCAGTGTGCTGTTCTCTTTCCTTCTAGTTGTAGAATTTCCACTCAGCCAGCCTTCCTGCAGTTCTGGATGATGTCCGTTTTGTCTTTTTGTTGTATTTGTGAAGTTGTTGTAGGAGGCAGCAAGTTCGGTGTTTACCTATGCCGCCATCTTGGTTTCTCCTCTTCCTTTTTCTTCTTAAATACATTCCCTCCCACCTGTTACTATATTAATTCCTATTTTTAAGAAGTTGAGTCTAAAAGTGTAAAAAAATAAGCCTGCACTCATAAGGTAGATGTTGTAAACTTGATAGTGGTTGTGAAAGTGATTTCTCTTTCACCATTCTCACAGTGTTACTAGCAAACTGGTTAGGCGAGTCCAGGGGAGGGAGGAAAAGGGAGAGAAGAAAGTAATTCTTCTGAACAAATGGACTTTCTGTTGTTGTTTAATATAAAGTTCTTTTCCTTGGATAATCAAGGCATTTGAATATGCACACAAACTTTGGATAGTGCCTAATTATAGCAGAGGACTTTGGCACCCAAGGAATTCTGAATTTCCAGGATTATAGTAATTTGCAACTGTAAATCACTGCTAGATTTGTGTTTTAAAGTACTGGGATAGTTTAATTCTAACTTGTAATTAATTATGCTTGACAATTTGAAATAAGTTTGTATCTGAACAGCTATTAAAACTGTTAAATTGTACAGCCACATCATGACAGCTTTGGACTATAAAATGTGCTTAATAAAAAACAAAAAGTTAACCTCCATCCAAAAAATTGCTCAGTGATGTCAATAAATCAAGTATGAGTATTATGCAGTACCTCTAATCTGACTTCATGCAATTGTTACTTTAGCTACTAATTCAAAACTAATACTCTTAATAAAGTGCCGCAATACTCTGAAAAAAATATATCATCAGCAGGAAAACTGATGAAATTCAAATAAAGTCTGTAGTTAATTGAACTGCTAACTGAACTGGTTATGTAAGGGGCTATATTAGGGGATGTTGAATGAATTCTCTGTCCCATTTTTGCAACTTCTCTCTACATCTAACATTAATTAAAAGTTAATATAAAAAGTTGGAGACTGAGTATAAACAAAAATATGGCAGTAAAATTAATTTAATTCTCAAAGAGAATCACTGATTTACGTATTCCTATGACCTGACACATCGCTGGTGCTGAATTTGGTAAATAATAAATTACTTTGTAGGATATGATAATTAAAATACATAAGTACACTACTAAAACAGATGGAACACACACAAAACAAAAAGAAAAAATATTGTTTAAGGAAAGGAAAACATTAGCTGGTGTAACATTACATTTTGGGAAGATTTTAGAAAATGAAAAAGTTCACCCCAATGCCACTCCCTTCAGTTTACGAACACCAGTCCTCTCCTAAGGGTAGAGGGCCCTATCTCTAATAAATGGCACTTTCTTTTGGTCGGGCCCACCACCTTCTGCTCCTCGATCACTAAGTACTCCAAAGCAGTCCTCCTCTTCCCCGACTCCAAGAGGAGTTACTACTTCAACTGCCCCTTCCTCCCTGAATCCCAGAGCACAATGGAACAGGGTTCCCGCATCTGGGCAAGAGATGCCGGATGACCCTGTTTCACCCATTTTACAGCAAGAGTTGTCATAAAACAGTCAGGAAACATGAAGTAAATTTAACAAGCAAAGCAATGCAATTAGTTTATATAGTATATGTTTTGCAACATAACAGAATTCATAAACTTTCTGATGGGAGATTTAATGGAGGTCCAATGTGTGCTTATGAGTCATTCTCAGCTACCCCACAGAGCCCTACAGAGGGGTCAGAGTTCCCTTTCTACCGTCAGTAGGGACACGTGGATGAGGAGTTCTGAGAAGGCCTGAGGTAATGGAAAGAAACGGCTCTGAAGTCATGAAGAACTGAGCTCAAATCTTGTTAACAGATATAATAAAAGGCTCTGGGCAAGTGAGCGATGTGTCTGAGTCTGTTTTGCCACTTATTTAAAAAGCATTTTTCAAAATGTGTTTCCCAAGAGTGCTTATATCTAATACAGAAGGGAATCTGTTTACATTGCAGATTCCTGGGCCCTACTTTCAGAGAAGCTGGGCCTGGCACTCAGGAAAATAAATTTTTAACAAGCTCCTCAGGTGACTCTTACTAGTATACCCATTAAAGTTTGAAAACCACTGAAATAAGAGAATGGGCCTGAAATGCAATAGATCCTTCAGAAATGTCAACTTTTCCTGGTGAGGAAAAGCAGTATGGATATGTGAAAATTAGATTTTAAAAATGCATTTGAATAGTTTTTTACTCCATCAACCATATACTTTCATTAAAATGGTGTTTAAAAAAAACTTAACTACGTGGGAAAGTGCTCATAATGGCTAAGTTAAAAAAAAATAATACAAGAAATGTACATAAATATAATCCCAATGGTGGTGTGTGTGGTATGCATGTCTTTTATATATAAAATGCCAGGAAGAATCACTGATGGTTGTTTCTTCATTACAGAATTAAAGAAATTTTATTTCTTCTGTATCTTCTAATTTTTTCTAAAATAGGGTTTTATGATCATAAGCAATGTTTTTTGCAGGCAAAATGACTACATAATTTCCCTTTAAAATACATTAAAATTTTGAGATGACACAATAGAAAGGGATTATAACTTTCAGTCACATAAGTTTGCCAGCAATTCATACAAATAACCTTCAAGGAAATCTGTTCTAAAGAGACCCCAACAACCCAAATCTCAAATAAAAACCTCACAAGCTATTAATAATCTTCAATGCCAGAGAATCCTGTGGTCGGTGTTTGAAATTACTATTCCTAAACTCCACCCCCAGAAAGTTTCATTTCAAAGGCTTGAAGTGAGGCCAGGGAATCCATACTTTCAACAGGAACCCAGGTTGATTTGAGAAACCATTGTGCATTGATGGCTTAAAAAGAGAGAGAGAGAGAGGGAGAGAGAGAGAGAAGAAAACCACCACTGATTTGCTTTGGATGTTCCCACTTTTGAGTACAAAAATCTTCAAAGAGATGGTTAGTTCCTAAATCACTTACATGCATCTCTGGAAAAAGCATACATTAAATAACACTCAACTTAAAGTAGATACTAAATACTTATTCTATCAAGTGGCATATAAAATAACAGAGCTGCCCTGGCCGGTTTGGCTCACTGGATAGAGCGTCGGCCTTAGGACTGAAGAGTCCCGGCTTCGATTCCGGTCAAGGGCATGTACCTTGGTTGCAGGCACATTCCCAGTAGGGGATGTGCAGGAGGCAGCTGATCGATGTTTCTCTCTCATCGATGTTTCTGACTCTCTATCCCTTTCCCTTCCTCTCTGTAAAAAATCAATAAAGTATATTTTAAAAAATAAATAAATAAATAACAGAGCTGGTTTTATTCCCGCCCCCAAGAGTGTGGTCCGACAGTGTACTTCTCTTTAACAGATGTTTCTGATCCGATCAAAGCATGAATCATGAAAGTGTTTGCAATTTCATGAGGCTTAAAGACCAACTCTTCTCTAGAAGATAAAATTTCAAAAAGATAAATAATGATCCAATACAGCATTATCTCCTCCCCTAAGAGACACATTCCAGCACTCCTGCCCAGGCCAGGTGCAAAACAGCCTTCTGTCCCTCTTATTAAACCCAGTCTCTTAATCTGGACCCTGAATCCTATTCATCCCTGGTCAAGATTCCTTTCTTGCATTTTCAATATATTATTTTCTTTAAAAATGTAGAAATTTTACAATTCAACAACGGCCCGGCCAGCATGGCTCAGTGGTTGAGTGTGGACCTATGAGCCAGGAACTCACGGTTGGATTCCCAGTCAGGGCACATCCCCGGGCCCTGGCTCAATGCCCAGTGTGGGGCGTGCAGGAGGCAGCCAATCATTGATTCTCTCTCATCACTGATGTTTCTCTCTCTCTCTACCACTTCCTTCCTCTCTGAAATCAATAAAAATATATTTTTTTAATTCAACAAGAAAAAACTCTCCTCAACCCTCAAATTACAATCTTTTTCCTCCTCCTTTTCATCATCAAAGGGCTGGCGAGGTCTCCGGGTGCCCTGGCTGCCTCCGCAGCCTCATCCCTCACCCACTCTTGAACCCTTCAACCGGACACACGCCCACAGGTGGATACCTGCTGTCCTAAGGCTACCACCCCTAAGGCCTTTTCTCAGTCCAAATCCTCCTGAACTCTTTTTTTTTTTTTCAAACCTAGGTTTAGCCCTAATGGAAGATCATCAACAGACACTGGACGGACACAGAGCCTTGACTAAGGGCAGGTGTCTCAGAAGTACTCATTTTTTAAATGTCATTTCCCCAATTACACTTAACATTCAATATTATATTAGTTTCAGGTGCACAACGTAGTGTTTAGACATTTATACCCACCTGGCACCATACATAGTGATTGCATTATTGACTGCATTTGTGCATTACATCCTGGGACTATTTTGTAACTCCGATTTGTATGAAGTACTTTAAAATCAGCTAGCTCTCACCACTGCGCCGCCCCGCAGGCCCCAGGCTGCGATCAACAGTCCACTTCTAGGTAAAAACCCGAGGGAGGAGGGCTCCAGTGAACAAGGGGCTTTTTTCACGTTGATGTGCCCGCAGGGAGAGAGGAGCCGAGCGGGAGGGGGGTGGAGGGGCACGACCCCCAGAACCCTGAACCCGGGCCTGGGAGGATGTGGGAGGAACCCTGGAATCTCTTCCAACCTGGCAGCATCTCGCCTGGCTCCCCGCCGGCGGCAGGGCGATCGCCGCGGTGGCGCCCGCCCCGGAGCCGGTGCTTCCCGGCCAGTTCGGCCTCCGCAGCTCCCGCCCCGCCCGGCCGCTCGGGCTGCAGCAGGACCACCCCGCCGAGCCCGGGCCGCGCCAGCCCACGCGCGCCCAGCCCCGGCCCGAACCCCGCCTGCCGCCGGAGATGCCCAGGCGGCGCCCCCACTGCCCTCCGCACGGAATCGCGCCTCCCGGGCGCCCGTGGAGCGCAGGCCGGGGGTACTCACCCGGACGCGGCGGCTGAAGGCACCGCTGGGAGGAAGGAGAGGCAGCGAGAGGCGTGGGGAGGCTCCGGAGCGCCGGCTCCGCCCCCGAGGGCAGCTGGTTTCTCCGGCGCCAGCCTGGAGCCCCGCCCCGGGTCAGACCGAGCCCACCGGGGCGCTGGAAGGAGCTCCCAGAGTGGAAGGAGCTCCCAGAGTGGAAGGAGCGGTGGGTGGTACGTCCTTTAAGAGAACTTGGAGCCTGGAGCCCATACCGCGCGAGGTGCTGGCGCTTCCTCCATTCCCTCCCCCATCAAAGCTCACAAAGCGTCCTAGCCGGCTTGGCTTAGCGGATAGAGCATCAGTCTGCGGACTGAAGGGTCCCAGGTTCGATTCTGGTCAAGGGGCATATACCTTGGTTGCGGGCACATCCCCAGTAGGGGGTGTGCAGGAGTCTGCTGATTGATGTTTCTCATCGATGTTAAATTAAAAAGGAAGAAATAACTTTAAAAAAAGCTCACCAAGCATCTTGGGCATCTTGGGAAGAAGAGCCAAACCTTGCCACGCCGAGCTCCACACACACACACACACACACCCGCGTGGAGCCAGACGCTGAAGAGCACTGAAGAGTGTCAAGTGCCCCTGCACTAGGCGCCAACCATAGAAACTCGCTCTGGAGGACGCTTAGTCCCAGAGGATCCAAGCAAATACAAGTTCACATTAAAAAAAAAAATCAGCAAGCACAAAGGCCCCACATAAGTGTCAGTCAGCAGAACTAATACCGAACAGATTTAGAATTGTCTAACAAAGAACACATGAGAGTTTAGTTTTGTTTTTTGAAAATTTCAAAAATTACAATGGCGATAGAGTACCGTTGCATTGGAGAAACCTGACGGATACGTACTCCGCGTTAATGTAACCAGTAGTACAGTTTGGCCATCACACATGATGCGATGCTCTGAGGACATGACGTCACCTTTATTATATTTCTGCCAAAAGTACATAGTTTTAATTTAATCATAGGTAACAGACAAGCCCAAATCAAATGTCAATATCATGAAAGACAAGGAACGGTGAGGAACTGTTTCAGATTAAAGGACAATAAGGAGTTTTGACATCTAAATTCCTGCACTGGAAAAAATTGCTACAAAGTATTGAGACAACTGGCAATGAAATGTGCAGTGTGATAGATTAAAATAGCCTCCGGTTCTGTGGCATTCCTCTCATTGAGAAATGGGGATATATTTCCCTTCTGTTTATTTTTTTATTTCCCTTCTGTTTAAATCTGAGTTGGCCTGTGACGGCTTTGATGGGTGAAGCAGAGTGGACATGAAGCTATGACTGTGAAGCTATCACAGAATTATTGACTCCAGTACTAAACTGAAACTTTAAAAAGCTGCTTCTGCTTCCTCTTTCACTATATTTTGTCAAAGCAACTTTTTCCAATGTACCAGTAAGACCACACATAGAGGAATAAGGGGGTCTCTTTAATCTCCGTTAGGAGCTGAATTGTATCTCCCACCTTCCCCACCATTCATATGTTGAGATCCATCGCTTCTCGGCCTTTTGGCTAAGATCAAGTGTAGTATCTGTTCTTATCAGTTTAATATGTTGAGATCCTAACTCCCAGTACATCACAAGAATACTTTATTTGAAAATTGGGCCTTTAAAGAGGCAATTAAATTAAAAGTGTGGGCCCTAATCTAATATGACTAGTGTCTTAATAAAGAAAAGATTAGGACACAGACAACACGGATAGAGGATGACCGTGTGAGGACATAAGGAGAAGGTGGCCACTTGCAAGCCAAAGAGAGCAGCCCCATAAGAAATCAAATCTGCTGACAACTTTGTCTCAGACTTCTAGCCTCCAGAATCATGAAGGGGAAAAAAAATCTCTGTTGTTTAAGCCACCCAGTCTGTGATATTTTGTTATATCAGCTTTAAGGTCTTTTTAATCTGAAATAAGTTATCTTTCATGATGATGACATTGTTGAAGTACACAGGCCAGTTGCTTTACAGAATATTCCTTACTTTGGGCTTGCTTGATTGGTTCCTTATGATTAAATTCCAATTATGCACTGTGGACAGAAATATGAAAAAGATGATATTAAGTCCTCATGGTGTTATCTCATGTGCGATGTCAATTTGTATTATTGGTGATCTCAAAAATCACTTGTTCTTGGAACCCTGAGCCATCATGTAAGAAGCCCAGGCACGCTGAGCCTGCCATGCTGTGAGGAAGCCCACGCTGGCCATGTAGGGAAGCCAAGAGGTGCCCAGCCAGCTCCCAACTGTCCCAGTCCCCACCCACTCAGAATCACCCCCAATTGAGGCTTTGGATATCATAGAACAGATATCATGAGTTCTTCCCACTGTGCCATACCTGAATTATTGACTCACAGAATCATGAGACATTGTTTTCTAAGTCTCTAAGTTTGGGGTCATTTGCTATATAGCAATAGAGAATCAAAGCTGATCATATATTATATGATATATAATATATGAATTCATGCACCTTGAAAGGAACTGTGGGCCATGAGGCTGCAGTGGGCACAGGGACGTGTCTCAGGCCATCCTCTGTGCCCCTGCCTGGCCCCTCCCGCCATGGCCCCCGGTCCCCTGTCTGTCGGCAGCCCCACTCCCGCCGCCACCGCTCCCACCCACTGACAGCGCCAGCCCCGCTCACACCCACTGACAGCTTAGAGTGATTGGGGCCAGTGCCAGCAGCAGGTGCGAGTGGGCGTGGTTTCGGCCTCAATCCCCCGTGTGTGGATCCCCAGTGTGGGGTGTGCAGGAGGCAGCAGATCAGTGATTCTCTCTCATCATTGCTGTTTCTATCTCTCTCTCTTCCACTCCCTTCATCTCTGAAATCAATAAAAATATTTTTTTAAAGCCACAGGGAGATAAACATACCCAGTTAGCATGCCTGAAATTAAAAAGGCTGACCATACCAAGTATTGGCAAGGATATGGAGCAAATGGAACTCTCATACACTTCTGTGAGAATGTAAAATGGTACAACACTTTTGGAAAGTCTGAAAATTTCTTTTTTTTCTTCTTTAAATTTCTCTTTATTGTTGAAAGTATGACAGATGTTCCCTTTCCCCCCCCCCCCCCATTGATCCCCTCCATCCCAAACCCACCCCCAACTCCAGGCCTTTACCACACTATTGTCTGTGTCCATGGGTTATGCATATGTGTATATAAGTTCTTTGGCTCATCTCTTCCCACCCCAACCCTAACCCTCTTCCCTCTGAGATTCAGCCATGCTTCCAAGTCTCTGGATCTACGTATTTTGACAACTTCTTAAAAAGTTAAACATACACCTACCATATGATCAAGCCATTTTATTCCTTGATATTCACCCAAGAGAAAAGACTTGTACATGAATGTTTTTAATACCTTTATTTGTAATTACCAAAAACTGGAAACAGCCCAAATAACCATCAACAGGTTAATTGATAAACAAATTGTGGTATAGCCATATTATGGAATTCTAATTAGCAATAAAAAGAAATGAACTATTGATTATTGCAACCACATGGATGAATCTCAAAATTATGCTGAGTGGGGGGAAAAAGAACATACTGTATGATTCCACTTACATAAAGCTCTAGAAAATGCAAACTAATCTATAGTGAGAGAAAACAGATCAAATAGAAAACGTAACGTTTGCCTGGGGTTTGAGGCCTGGGCAATACAGGAGGGAGGAATAACAAAGAGGATTGGGGAACATTTGTTGTTGTTTTATTAATTCGCACCCAAGGATTTTTTTTCATTGATTTTTAGAGAGAGTGGAAGGGAGGGAGAGAGAGGGGAGGGAGAGAGAGAGAGAGAGAGAGAGAGAGAGAGAGAGATCAAAGACACACCAATTGGTTACCTCACACTCTTGCCCCATCTGGGGCTGGGGATTTAACCTGCAACCCAGATACGTGCACTTGACCAGGAATTGAACCCACGACCCTTTGCTACATGGACTAGTGCTCTAACCACTGAGCACACTGGCCAGGGTGGAATGGGGAAAATTTGGGGGGGTGATGGATATGTCCTATATTTTGATTGTGGTAATGATTTCACATGTGTATACATATGCCAAAGTTTAAAAACTTTGCATAGCACTGTGGAAAAACATGGATAAATGTTGTTATAATCTGGATAAATTGAAAACATTTAAAAATTGCATGGCAAAAGCATTTAAAAAGTCAAAAGGCAAATAAACTTGGAGAAACTGTAACTCATATTACAGAAAAAGGATTAAATCCCTTGTGTAAAAATCTTCTTTTTTGTTTTTAAATTTCTTTATTGATTAAGGTATTACATGTGTGTCCTTATCCCCCCATTACCCCCTCCCCGACTCTCCTACTCATGTCTTTGTCCCCCTGTTGTCTGTGTCCATTGGTTAGGCTTATGTGCAAAAAATCTTCTATAAGTGAGTAAGAAAGCTTAATAAAGAATTCAAAGTTTAAGCATAGTATTTAAATTTAAAATTATAACAAAAGAAAAATGGGAAATAATATAAGTAACCAAGCACATGAAGAGGAAAAGAAATGAAGAGAGGCTTAGTGAACCATATCTCACATCATTCAGAGCCTGGAGTTAACAGACACAGTCAGGCACCACATAATATTTAGGTCAATGACACTGCGTATGCAGTGGTGGATGTATGAGGTTATATGGAGCTGAACAGTTCCAGCCGTGTAGGGATGTCAGAGCACAACGCATTACTCATGCCTGTGGTGATGCTGATGTAAACAAACCTACTGCATTGCCAGTCATATAGCACAGCCCTGGCCGCATGGCTCAGTTGGTTGGAGCATTGTCCCATCCACCAAAAGTTTATGGGTTCAATTCCCAGTCAGGATACATATGTAGGTTGCAGGTTCGATACCTGATCAGGGCACTTATGAGAAGTGAACCATCTATGTTTCTCTCCTCTCTCTCTACCTCCCAACCCCTCCCTCCCTTTCTCTTCCCTTTCCCTCCCTCTGAAATCAATGAGCATATCCTCTGGTGAAGATTTTTTAAAAAATACAGCACATAAAATTATGTACAATGCATAATACTTGATAATGTTAATAAACAACTATCCTACTTCTTTATGTATTTACTCTACTATATTATTTATTGACTAGAGGCCCGATGCACAAAATTCATGCTCAAGTATGGTCCCTAGGGCTGGTCTGCAATCAGGGTCATCTTCCCCGGCTGCCCACAGCAGGCCCTGCCCCCCACCCCACCCCCCCGCCACCACCCACCCCCGGTTCCCCATTCGCCATCAGGGGATCAGTGCCTGATGGCCAGAGGAAGGGACCGAGAGGTCTGCTGTTCCCGCCCACTCGCTGGCCCTGCCCCCACTGTGAGTTGCCCTCTGTGTGGGGGGCAACTGACAGGGCGAGGGCCTTAACCTGGTGCCACCTTCATCCCCCGCTACCCACCCCCAGTTCCCCATTTGCCACCAGGTAATCGAAGCCTGCTGGCTGGGGAAAGGGACCGAGAGGTGGTCAGTGCGCCTCATAGTTACTGGTCCAGTGGTCGTTCTGGTTGTTCTGCCGTTAGGGTCAATTTGCATATTACCCTTTTATTATACAGGATAGAGGCCTGGTGCACAGGTGGGGGCCGGTTGTTCTGCCCTGATGAGAGCCCCAGCCCGGGAGCTCACCGGCCAGGGCAAGGGGCCACCGGGGGTTTGCAGGCTGGCCACGCTCCCCATTGGCGTAGAGGTCCCCACTGGGTCGGGGGTCGGCCTGGGTGAAGGGTGGTGGTGGTTCTGGTTCCTGGTCGTTTTGGTTGTTCCGCCATTTCGGTCGCTGGACTTTTATTTTATAGGACTAGAAGCCTGGTGCACAAAAATTTTGCACTGGCGGGGGTCCCTCAGCCAAACCTGTGCCCCCTCACATTCTGGGACCCCTCGGGAGATAACCACCTGCTGGCTTAGGCCCACTCCCCTGGTAGCAGATGGCATGCCCAATCCCACGGTGCCTGCCCCATCTCCCCTGGTCGCAGATAGCAGGCCCGGATCCCGCGCTGGGGTTGGCCTGCCGCAGTGGGGCGGTGCAGCGGGATCTGCCTGAAGTATGCAAATTTAACAGCCATCTTTGTTGGGTTAATTTGCATACTCTTCTGATCGGCTGATTAGTGTAGCAAAGGTATGGTCAATTAGCATATTTGTCTTTTATTAGTGTAGATAATTTGAGTGTACTCTTTCTACTTATAAAAATGTTTGCTGTAAAATAGTATGCCATGTTACTCCAACAGGAGCCTCATACATCTCTTGTTTACCATATCTCGATTGCAACATTTTCTCTTGAGCTTGATTAATCTTGTGTTGTTTTAGAAATTTAATGTAGCCTAAGTGTACTATGTTTATAAAGTCTACAGTAGTATACAGTAATAGTCTAGGGCTTCACATTCACTCTTCACTTACTCCTGACTCACCCAGAGTAACTTCCTGCAAGCACCATTAACCATGGTACCTATACAGGTACCTGTACAGGTGTACCATATTTTATCTTTTATACCATATTTTTCTGTATCTTTTCTGTGTTTAGATATGTTTAGATACATAAATACTTACCACTGTGTTACAATTTCTTACAGTATTCAGTACAGCAACATGCTGTACAGGCTTGTAGCTGAGGAGCAATAGGCTATACCTGTGGTTAGCAAACTCATTAGTCAACAGAGCCAAATATCAACAGTACAACAATTGAAATTTCTTTTGAGAGCCAAATTTTTTAAACTTAAACTA